ATGAATGTTTTTTTTTTTTTTTTTTGGGGGGGGGGGAGTCAAAATTTCATTTGGGGGAGTCACATTTTCATTATGAAAATCTGACTGGGGAGTCACATTTTAGGGGAGTCAGATTTTCATGGTACACCTGTAGAGAAAAGGTTATGCACGGTGTGCAACATGTGCTCAGTTGAAGATGAATTCCATTTTCTGATGATATGCCCCTGTTACGCTCCACTGAGAGCCTTATATTTTAACCAGGTTAGAGATATACTGGGCAGTGCAGCCCCTGAGTCCATTAGTGAACTATTTCTTACCATCCTGCAATGTAATGATTTTGATATCGCAAAATGCACAACTGACTTTGTTGATGATTATTTTAAAGCTAGGGATATGAAAATTACATCTATGGTGATAAAAAAACTAGATGAACTGACGATGCAGTTCTCATATCCCCCTAATCAATAGTAAGTTTAATATAAGGTTTAGTAGTGTAGCCTATTCTAGTCCTTCTGACATCTGACAATTAAGATTAAGCGCCCTGATAAGACTGCATACAAATAGAAAAGGGTATGTAAACAGGCCCTTAAAAATCCCCCACCGGGCGACGGGCACACAGTTATGTGGATATTTTCACTGAACAGAGCTGAGAATAACCGTCGATTTTACCAGAAACATATTTGTGAATATCGATCTAGTAAAAAATATCAATCTGTGGCCCTGGTAGAGGGTAGCACTTCCCTGGCATTTCCCACAAAGGGTTTTCTCCATGGCCCGAACGCCAATATCTTACATATATATTCGAGAGTTTTGTTTTAATCGGCAAAATGGTAGATGCATTGTTTAATAGTTATACCGGAATCACGAAAAACCTCAATTTCGGTATTAATTTTGATGATAATTAACCCTGACAGTACGGAGTTCTTTAGATTTCTCTTATCCAACACAGTTACACACGAGATCATCAGGTTAAGCCAGTCCCAGGTACGAGCGTTAAGTAACTTTGCTCTCCAGAGAACATAGTTTATGTGTGAGGCAAATAAAGTGAAAATATATTCCTAGTAGGGCCTAACTACGTTTTAACGTTGTTTTCGAGAAGGGAACAAAAATATATTCACGTATAATGTGAAGTTAAAGTAACCTTTAGCCCGTGTTCTTGTATAATGAAATATTTAAAATAATTTGATAAATTAATAGATAGATCCATCAAATAGACTGGCGGCGCGCAGGAATCGCTACGATCCCAAAAAAAAAAAAAAAAAAGATCGTTCGCTCTAAACCGTTGCAAAATAATAATAATAATAATAATAATAAAACAAATAAATAAAATAAATAATGAAATAAAAAAGGAGCAGAAAATATCTGTTCAACTGTTCATCCCCCCTCTCTCTCGCGTTCATTTTTACTGCAGAAAAGAATTGGCCAGCCTATTTTTCCGCTCTTTTGTGGGTGCTTGGGTTTTGTTTGTGCGGCTGTGGTGAATTTTTGTCCTGTGTAAGCGGCCACAATTTTAGAGATTTCATCTCAGTTATAGATAGAAGATAGACCCAGAATGACTACTTCGATTTTCGTAAGGATCGTGTTTACGGTTTTTTGATAAAAATTTCTGAAGTTTTGATAGGCCTATATTTTAATAGATTGCCACAAATGCAAAACGCCCAGCTGTGGTAAACGTTTTACTCACTTTGAAAATTCAATCATCACTGGTTTTGTTTTTTATGTATCTCCTATGAGTATAACGTTGTAAAAAATTATGATAATCTTCTGCATAGAGCAGTTAATTGTTTTTTGGCGACTTTAGTTTGCTTGTCACTGAATATTAAAAAGGGGGGGGATACATTGACAGTAAAATAAGCATCAAACAAACTATTTTCCATCCATGGTACAAATATTGTATCAGAAATGTCAAACTATTATGGAATCACAAAATATATATTATTTTAGTCAGCAACAGAAATCCCGTATTATTTGAAGTGGGGGGTTGTGTCCGAAACGACAGGCCTTGGATGCGAAGCCGAAAATCACCCCCTTGGTGTGGGGTTCGGGGCCTGCTCAACGGCCCCGAAAAATGTTGGGGTTTTGGGAGAGTAAACAGTGCTCTTTGGTAAGGTTTAAAACTGTGATTTAGCTAGTCAAAATTCGAATTTCAAGACTCGTCGAATATTGATGTGATATATTTTTCAGAAGTTGAAGGGGGGGGGGGGGGGGGCTGACCCCCCCCCTCTAAATCCGCCACTGAAAAACCGCGTTTTCAAGTACTTAGGTAAGATGAAACTTTCTGAGAATTTTTCCGGAGAACATACGTTAGATAGCATATTAGCCATTAGGCAATGCCTTTGTGTTACAGTTTAATTTTTTATAAAAAAACATTCTTACGTCATATACATTTTACCATGACTGAATCACTACAAAATATATCGGAACGCGATATAAGAATTAAAATTAAATTACCTGGAACATAGGCTACGTTAACGGGAACATACGTTAGCATTTAGGCTTCTTACAAAATGTCAAGACATGGTAAAAATTAAAAATTAAATTAAAATTGAAACAGTCGTGGATTTTTGTTCAATACAGGTATATGCTTTAAAAATTGAATACACTTTGAATTCATTCAATTTTATGCTTCTGCACGTGAAATGCACCTCTATATTGGGTTTGGGTGTTACGTATATGATAACTTCACTTAGTCTGATACCTTCACACCCTTATCATGATGCACTTTTGCAAGATTCTCCTCCACCATATCACTGGATGTTTGATTTTCAATATCCTTAATTTGTGTGGTGACTTTGAATAAGGCTTGAATGTCTCCACTTATCAAATAAATTAGTTTGGAAATATATTTACATATTCAACGATGTATTTTTATTTTATGTCCTCCAAAGGTTATGAAGATCGAAGCCATCGCTGGGGTGAAAATTTGCATTGGTCAAAGAGCTTAAAG